CGAACTTGGATGGAAGCCACAGACAAGTGTGTGACTTGTTATGCTAATTTACTTATTCTTTCTTTCTTCTGAACTAGTTTCATCATAGATAAATGGAAATAAAAATGTTACCAGTTCTTCTTTCACAAGACTTTTATGAGGATTCGATTTTAAACGTGTATGAAAACATCTTGGAAATTGTAAAGCTCTACGTAAATCATTTGTTATTATGATTGTAAAGCTCTACGTAAATCATTTGTTATTATGATTGTAAAGCTCTATGTAAATCATTTGTTATGATTGCTGTTACATCTTTAGATATATATGTCTAGAGAATAATTTAGAATGTAATTTTTATGATCTATTTAATCCAATTAATTTAAAATTTAAAAATAAAACAAAGAGGTGACACCTTTTGGAAATCCCCATAGGCCCAAAGGCTTTCGGAGAAAACAAACCAGCTAAAAGATGACCACTGTGCTGGCCTGTGGAATCTATTCCCATAAGCGGGAATGGTAAACCCAAGAGAGGGAGATGAGGGCTGACGACAGGGACTCACAGCACAAGGGAGAGAACCTGCCCTTCTGACATGAGAAAAAAATCATAGAATTGAATTTTGAATTCAATTCAAAATTCAATTGGGTAGAACTGGGTAGAACTTTGATGCTTTTGTAAGCTACACCTAACAGAGTGCCCTAGAACCTCATACATACCATGAGATTCAACAGATGTCTGTAGAATGAATCAGTCTTCTAGAGGAGTAAATCAAAACCTTGAAGGTAATTTGCCAAGGTACATAGTGGAAGCAGAATCAAGATAATGTTCAAGGCAGGAGAACTCAAACGTCGGATTCTCTCCAGGCTGTATTCTATTGATACTGGCCCTGTTGTCTCTGACTGTAGAAAGACGTAGCCACAGGATCTAAACACCGGAGCCGATTTCTTTTCACTGAGATGTCGGATTGAATGCTAACGAGTTCCAGACTGTAGTACAAGGATCCCTTTTAGTTATCATGCAAAGTTGACACCTGTGGAGACGAAGCTAAGATCAGTATTTCAGGTAAATGAAAGGTTCAGTGTGACAGTAAGATTCCCATCAACACCTTGATTCTCAGCATCTTGGAAGGAGCAGTGCCTAGTGCAAGCTCCAGGATCTTCCCATGGGAAGAGAACCGTAAGCAGAAGTTAACTTCTCTAGTGAACAGTATCTGCCTGCCCTGTTTGACAGTGCTCTATGTTCACACTATTTGGTTCAGAACTATTTTTTTTTTTTAATTTGGATACAAATAGGTCAAACAGGAATTGTATATATATTTTATTTTAGAAAATGATATAACTAAAAATATGTTAAAGTTCATTTCTTCTCAATAACTTTTACCACAATTAGTGCAATTTTCTGTGCTCAGCCAAGGAGAGGTCGTGCAACAAACTGTTTCACTTTCAGCCAACAAGTATTAGTGCAAAGGTTGCCAGCGCTCTCAGCCAGTGAGCATCCACACGGTTCAGTGTGCTTTGCAACCCATGGGACTATGCCTTTGGACATTCTCTTTATGCCACTTTGATACCACATCTTAACCATAAAAATTTCCAAGTAATAGTACTGGATCTGCCACAAATAATTTTTAATCGTATTTTTTGGATGTTAGTAAGTACTTAAAACTAATTAACAAAACATATGACAATTTATGAAGTATAACTAAGGCAGCACTTAGCATGAAATTTGTAAGCTTAAATAATATATTCAAAACAATGTGCTGAGAATGAGTTAAACATGAAACATAAGAAGTTAGAAAACAACATAACTAACACAAAGAAAGTGGAAAGAAGAAAGAACGTTTATAGTAAGAACAGATATTAAATGTAATAGATTAAAAAAAGAGGGGGCCGGGCGCGGTGGCTCAGGCCTGTAATCCCAGCACTTTGGGAGGCCGAGGCGGGTGGATCACGAGGTCAAGAGACCAAGACCATCCTGGTCAACATGGTGAAACCCCATCTCTACTAAAAATACAAAAAAAATTAGCTGGGCATGGTGGCACGTGCCTGTAATCCCAGCTACTCAGGAGGCTGAGGGAGGAGAATTGCCTGAGCCCAGGAGGCGGAGGTTGCGGTGAGCCGAGATCGCGCCATTGCACTCCAGCCTGGGTAACAAGAGCAAAACTACGTCTCAAAAAAAAAAAAAAAAAAAAAAAAAGGGAAAAGCCAAAAATTTGTTCAAACCTCTGGAAAGCTTGATCATGAAAAAAAAAATTACAAAAATAAAACAACATTAAAAATGAGAAGAGGAATTTCATCACAGATTCAACAAAGATGAAAAACAGAACTTTAGGAGCAATGGAATGTGTTACCTAGCAGAACTGAAGATTTACCTGTCATACAGCTAGCAATGCCATTACGGTACAAACTCCAGAAAAGCATGCTAACATACCCTCTCCAAACATATTCAGAATTCAGCCTGCCAGGATAAAGAAAAAGCCTCAATGGCTCTGTGGCAAAGCCTGGTCTCTACCTGGTGACAGCACCTTTGAATTGGAGTTGATGTGTCAGCAGAAAGGGAACTGGCCAAACTTCTGGGACAATGGTGTCCTACCTACGCATATCATAGATGAAAGCTGACTTGGTTTCCCAGGAGCTTAAAAGCACCAGGAGGAGAGGAGTCTGCTGTGTACTGCGAAGAATTCTCATGACTGCTTCCTCCTGGGCCCCCTTCCTCATCATGCCAGCGAGCCCCAAGACCTAGGACAAGACAGCAGCACTCTCCCGTGGCGAGTGAGTCGGCCGAAGAACCTTTTGAGTACATTTCCTGCTGTTGAATTTTTATTCCAAGGGTTTAGCCACAGGTACACTTTTGTAGATAACAACAAAAATGCTAAAAGCTGCCTGTAAAAAGTGTCCTTTACTGAGTAGGAAATCACTGTTTAGCTATGTTTTGAGGAAGCAGCCAGGGTACGATGTGTTAATTATCCTGGGGCCATTCTATGAGTGAACTTTTGAACCGTATCTTCTCTCTTTTGGAATGAGATGAAATGCTGTTTTTCACTGCTTTAAAGTTCTTCTCGCAGTCATCATTTCACATTGTGAAACAGCGTTCAAAATACATCATAATTCTTATGTTGTAGAAATTCTATGAAAAGTAGCATATTCTCCTCATGCCTATGATGAGATTGAAAAATCCAAATGTTCTAGAAATTCCTGCCAGGAGCAACATCTTTTTTTCTAATAGCTCACAAATACTTTTTCTCCACATTATGTGTTTTAACCACCTAACTATACAGGCCTTTATATCAGCAAACTCCTGAATTTAACCCCTAACAGATTATTGTAGCCATTGGTGATTTATAGACTTTATTTCCTTGTATTTTATGCTAGGCTGATAAATATTTATTGACTTTCTAATCTTAATATCATCTAAAGAGAAATAAAAGTTGCAGTCTTTTGGCTTTTGTTTTTATTTAAAATGTTGCTATTCTCAACTCATTTTTTTCTTTGTACTTTACGTTTAATAAACAGTTTAATTGTTTGGGGTATAAATGGCAAATTCAATTCTTTAGCTAGGCACAGAATAACCAGAGAGCATATAAAGTTCTGACAAGTAAGGTCATAAAGTTTAAAAATGATCCTTAAGATAAGACCTTTCTTCTGAAAAGTAGCCTAAGAGAAATGATTTTCAGAGTTTGAAATCTTAAAGCATCACCAGCAAATACATGAAGTGTGACATATTCTCCATATGTGTATGTTTTCATAACTTGGCTTGTTAGTCGGGAAGGTCTCCTCAATAAAAGTGGTTTTTCAGGCAAACACCAAATGAAATTTTGATGGGAATGTTACCGATCAAATTGAAGCCTCAAATGAGTGATTCAATTAGTGACTTTGAAAGTCACTTTTCGTCACTGAAAATCTCTAGATTTCTTACAAGAATGGTAGAAATTAACTTGAGGACCTGTTAACCTAGCTTGCCCTGTAGCTTTTGTTTATACAAATGCATTTTTTCAGATACCCTATTAAAATATCATTGTAAAGTGACTCACTGTAACGCCATACAAAAAGAGTAGGGGTTTAACTTGTCTCCAGCACGGCATATTGTGGACGATCTCTTACATGGACAGGTAAAATGAACTGTCCTGTTCTGAGGTAGCGAGCAAGAGGCACCCTGTAACACACCCTGACTGCCTCGATCATCCAGAATGCCCCGGCAAGTTCACTTCCATTTAGTAAAGTGAGATAATGTGGCAATTCACACAAGAGACTGAGAACCTGCCCCCGATTCTGCAGGTGTGGTAAGTCTTTCATGCCTTTCTGTGTCTCCAGTGCTTCTTCATGGGCATATTATTTTTCAATGTACCTTATAATCACTATGTGACTAGTGTATGTTTAAAAATAAACTATAATATCTATGGGAGGAGTCAATTCTCCCTTACGGGAAAAAAATTCATCATGTTGTTTCCTAAATTTAACTCAACTTCATGTTTCACTGCTGGGGAATCACTTGAGTTACAGCACAAAGTAACTGACTTCAGGATAAAAGATTTCAAACTTGAAAAAACCATTAGTGTATTTCTCCTTTCACCCACAGGTCTACCCACGGATAGTGCCGGCATTCTGGCACTACCTGCGGGTACAAGGGAGTAGCGGGTACTTGAATCCTCCCACCTTGCTCCTTGCACTCCGCTGGTGTGGTCTGATCTGATGTGCCCATTTTGCTGCAGATGCAGCTGCCATTCTGTGTAACCGTGTGCTCACACCACCACCATTTCTTAGAGTTGGGTCAGGACTCTAAATCACCAAAAATCCAAGCGCAGTTTATATGCCATTAATCATCTTTCTTAAGAAATTTCCAGATAGGACCATATCATATGCATCATAATGACACAACTAAATGCCAAATTATGGAAAACCATGCTTACCCTTCTTTGTAATCCGTACTTTGGGTATTCAGAGCAAAATTCCTCAGTGAGATTTTGGAATGTTTCTAGGAAAACATAGAATAACTCTATTTCATTTTTTTCTTCTTTTTCTGTCCCCCAGGAACATGAGCAGCTGACCTACTCTTCCACAAGGTCCAAGGCCCCCAGCGTCATCATCACGGGGCTTAAGCCAGCCACCAAGTACGTATTTCACATCCGCGTGAGAACCGCGACGGGATACAGTGGCTACAGTCAGAAATTTGAATTTGAAACAGGAGATGAAAGTAAGTTTCATACAAAGATATCACGTAGGCTGTGAATTTAGTATCCTTCGAATTTGACCTGATATTTTAAAACCACGTGTCCCAAGTTTTTAATAGCTTTTTCAAATGAGATTTTGTTCATGTAAATACTCATACAGTCATTTCAGTTAATGTTTTCGGTACCTACATTAAATGCTTTCGTGAAATACCTTACTCTACCACAATAGTAATGTGGCCAAAATGGGACCCTTAGCCTCTGTGGCTAGTATGAGCCTAATTGTTCACTAGTCCTGGTGTCACCCTATGATTCGAATGAAAACTTGGAAGAGAATAAAGCCGTGAACAAATGATTTTACGATTAGTTTAAAATTTTGACACTTTGGCCTGTTAAGTCAGGTCAATAAAAACAGTGGTCAGGAGATGAACACCACTGACATACACATTATAAGTTTAAATACAGAGGCATGGGTTTAATCAGAAACCCACATGAATTCCAGAGCCTCAACATGCTGAAAACCGAGATGGGAGGTGATGGGAGTGATGTTCCAGTGTCACGTAACATCAGCTTTGAGTTCTTTCATTCCTTCTAAGCCCAGCTGTACCACTGAACTCTTTTTGGCCTTAGAAATCTGTCTTACAGCCAGGCATGGTGGCTCATGCCTGTAATCCCATCACTTTGGGAGGCTGAGGCAGGCGGATCACAGGGTCAAGAGATCAAGACCATCCTGGCCAACATGGTGAAACCCCGTCTCTACTGAAAAATAGAAAAATTAGCTGGGCGTGGTGGTGCGCACCTGTAGTCGCAGCTACTCAGGAGGCATGAGGCAGGAGAATCGCTTGAACCCGAGAGGCGGGGGTTGCAGTGAGCCGAGATCGTGCCATTGCACTCCAGCCTGGTGCCTGGCAACAGAGAGAGACTGTCTCAAAAAAAGAAAAAAAAGAAAGAAAGAAAGAAAGAAAGAAATCCATCTTACTGCTCTCTTTGTAAGAAAAAAAGAGATTGCTTTTGCCACACATCTTTAAGAAAAAGTGTCCAAATATATAATAAAAATCTGTTTCCCTCATTGTTAAAATCCTGTATAAGTATAATAACTCAATAAAAGTAAATTTATTATAGTAATTCCTTATGGATAACAATGACAATAGCTAGCATTTATTGAGGCCCTAAAAAAACGCTTGAAATGATACGAAATATTTTACATGAAATTGTTCCATTCAAACCTTTCAACATCCAATGAGACAAGTATTCTTTTTTGCTGTTATTGTACCTATAAGAAAATAGAAGCCTAAAGGAGTTTACCAAATTTACCTGATTTTAAGTAACCGGTAAGAAGCTAAGCTAAAATTTGAAATGGAAGTGTGTTTTATTCCAAGGCCTATGCTGTTAGCTACTCTACCCTCCTACTAAATCTTATCATTTATATTATTATGAAGTGTTTTTTCTAAGACCGTGAAAGAGGCCATAGTTTCTCAGTTTTTCACTCCCTTAAAATGAAGCTACTTGGGTTTCAGATTCGATGACAGAAGGAATATTTTGCTGTTGTTTTTATGAATATTTTAGGAATATTTTGCTCTTGTTCTGAATGAATGGTATTCACACATAAGATCTTCTTTGTTACAATTATATCTAAATAAAAAGAGGGAAAGTGCTAATGTATTTAAGTAAGAAGTAACCCAGCTTAGGGTGAATGAGTAAACTAATTAATAAAAAGAATAGTTGTGACCTGAGTGTTTATATCAGTAATAGCATTTAAAATCCTGCTGGAGACTACTGACTTTTTAAACCAGAGAGTAAATTACTGGGAGTAGAATATAATAAACACAAAACATAGATCCGCAATAAAGTCCCGATAAAAATATCAAAAGATCTGTCTTGTTTTGTTTTTCTCACTGTTTTCTTCCCTGCCCACTTGTCAAACCTTAGTCTAGGTATAAAGCTAAGGACACAGTCCAAGGAAAGTTTGGTCCAGATAGTCGAATCATTGTCTTTTATAGGCTGTGTTTCCTTGCGCAGCCTGGAGAAGTTAATAGCCTTTGCAAATTTACCTTGCTTTTTTTCACAGATTTAAAAAATTCACCTAACTTTTAAAGGATGATATTGTTGAGTATTGCATTTTTAACTTAGAAATGCACTCTCAGATAAACTCATAGAGCTACATCTAAATAAGTCATTTGTGTTCATGTGGGCCTTCTAGAGAAGGTCATCTAGTGTAATACTAAAAAAAAAAAAATTCTGATTTAAATATTAACAGTTTGATTTGGTTTTAACTTTAGATTTCAACTCACTCTACTTTCAGGACAATTTCTTCAGATGTTATGTAGAAGAAAAGGTCCTTCCTTAGCAGAAAGATCTCATACTCACAAGTTATTGAGTAGAATTCATTCATTTAACCAACATGTATAGGACATGTAATACGTGCCATAATCTTATCAGGCTCTGGGGATAAAAAATAAAAGCTAATAGCCTTTGCCTTCAAACAAGTTTCAGTCTATATTTGTGGGAGGAAAATAAAAATTTAAATAAAAAATACAAGATGAGTGACATGTACTATTATAAAGAAACACAAAAGGTTTGGTGACGGCATAGTAAATACTGTTTCAGCGCAGATGGGTGGTGAAAGGCTTCTGGAGGGCGAGAGGCAGGAGCTCTTTCTCGAAAGAAGAGTAGTCATGGAACAGCGAAAGCACAACGGCCCCTGACAATGTAAGGTATTTAAAAAGCAAATAATTTGGTGTGGCTGCAGTGAAGAGATACAAATGGTGCTTATGAAGGTAGAGCGTTATGCAGGGGCCCAACCAGCAGCGTTTTTTAGTCATAGTAAGAGTATCTGCTTGTATCCAGAAAATGTTCAGGATCCATTGGTGAATTTGAATCGTGGATTAATATGAGTAGTAATATGTGCAAGACTCTATGCTGAACAATGTACACGTATTACCTCATTTAATTATGACAAGATTATGCTTCATTTTAGAAACTTAAGTAGCTTTACCAGAATCTGATACCTAGTGAGTGGAGGTAGAAGATTAGAACCCTAGAACTATCTGACAATGGCAGCAGAAGAGGGTGGAAACTGTGTTCTGAATTACTGATGCATGAATGCTGTGAAAATGACTTTGATTAAAACCTTGAAGATATAAAATGTCTAAGAAGAACCTGAAAATAATGTATGTGTCTAAACTTGATGTTTGAGAACACAGACTAGCTCCTAAGTCAATTTACAGTCTAAGGGAAAAACCTGTAAAGGATCATTAAAAAAAAAAAAAAAAGAAACTGGTTAGCTTTAAATAGCAGTTTTCAAAGCCTGCTGTTTATACCCTGGAGAGAATTTCAGTGAATAATGCTATAGTAGCATATGGGTAGGTTTCCCATAAATTCAAGAATATGATGATGTGAATCCTAATTGATGGCATCCATCTTTTTCTCTTCATATCCTCCTGGCTCTTGTTTAAATTTTTATAGCTTTTGTTTCTCAAGTAGTGCCTGAATTATTGTAATGTCAGCTTTATTATTAAGTTCTCCCTTGTGTATCCCACTTAATTAACTAACTTTATAATACAGTATGGGGATGAGGTATGGGTTGGAAAGAAGCGATCTCATTTGATGGTCTGATTCAAATTTTTGAAAGTAAGCAAAATTAAGTCATTTATAATTCAGTTCTTTTTAGTCATACTATTTTACTTTATTCAACTTTGACTTTGCTAGTGATCCAGACAATAATATAATTATGAAGTAATTCCTTTTGAAAATCATAATGTCCTTAACTGACTTCTTGTGCTACAAATACAGTGACATCTGAAGAAAAATTATGGCAATGCTCTTGCACTTTGACACCCTTGCTTGGGTTCTTTTTCAGTACCAACGTGTGCTAGTGGAGACTGTCTCACTTGCTGACAGATGCTAACATTACTAATCATCACTGTTAGCATCATAAAATGACCCAACTTGAACCAGAGCTATTGGCTTCCCCTCTCCCTGAATGCATAAAACAACCTTATTGCATATGTATATGGAGGTAGAAATATAGATAGATTGGTAGATGGCTCAAATTGACTGATAGATATTCACTCATATATAGTCAGAAAAGTGTTTCCCTGCATGGAAACATCAAAATGCATTTTGATACTTGTATTTTATGTTTCATCTGATTTCTCACTGGGCAAAAGATAGAGTTAAATATTATGTCCACTAACAGCATTTATTGAGTGCCTACTGTGTGCTGGCCTTATTAGTTTACTGTACTTGATTCCCCCCTACCTTTTTAGAATAGATTTATCAAAACTACGATAAAATTACAGGTATCAGTAGTAAGAAAGTAAGAATATAAAAATACGTCATGTGGACTATTCTAGGAAGATAGACGGAAATTAGGTATTAGAAGCCAGTAAGAATTTTCTCAATAGTAAAATAAAATCCATATTATACCGCAAAGCATTAACCGTAAAACACAGACACACACACACACAGACACACACACACACATAGGTCAAGTGCAGTTCTTTTTGGCTAATGTGGCTGTAATAGGAAATTTTAACTGCTTCAAATTTCTTATTATTTCTGAGCTTATTTTCAGGGCCTTTTAATGGAGAAAAAGATGAGAATCAAAATACAAAATTGTTGACATCACCAGTAATAGTATCCATAACTTATAAACTGCTTGAAAAAACATATTTGATACATTTTAACAATAATCTGGCTAAATTACACTTACATATTTTAAAAAGTAATAAAATAAAGGAAATCGAACTTTTGTTTTTAATTAAAACACCATCAAGATTTATGCAACATTAAATTCCATTTTATAGTAACAAAGTAATTTTATATGTGCAATTTTAAAACCAAAATAAAATATATTCTAATAGATTGTAGCCCTCTTGAACCTTCTGCTAAAATGCTGAAAAATAGCTTATGAGCTATCAAGAGGGAGCAGAATCCATAGCTTAAAGCCAATTTTTGAAAGAAAATCAGTATTTTACATGTAATAATTGGCAATTTACCTCTTCCATTGCCTTAATAATTATCG